GGCTGGATTCGAACCCGCCACCTTAGGTGTACGTGGCTGGCGCCTTAGCCACTTGAGCCACAGGCGCCAAGCCTATTTTATTTTTTTTAATTAATTTTTTTTTTTTTTTTGAGACAAGTCTCAAGCTGTCACCCTGGATACTGTGCCTTGGCGTCATAGCTCAGAGCAGCCTCAGACTCTTGGGTTTAAGTGATTCTCTTGCCTCAGCCTCCCAAGTAGCTGGGATTACAGACACCTGCCACAACACCCAGCTATTTATTGTTGTTGTTGTTGTAGTTGTCATTGTTTTAGCAGACCCGGGCCAGGTTCGAACCCGCCACCCTACCCACTGAGCTATGGGTGCTGCCCGACATGCATCTTTTATAATAATTTCAAATTTATAGGAAGATTGAAATAAGAATAGCATACAGGGGTGGTGCCTGTGGCTCAATGGGTAGGGTGCCAGCCCCATACACCGAGGGTGGCTGGTTCAAACCCAGCCCTGGCCAAACTGCAACAGAAAACTACCTAGGCATTCTGGCGGGCGCCTGTGGTCCCAGCTACTTGGGTGGCTGAGGCAAGAGAATCACCCAAGCCCAGGAGTTTGAGGTTGCTGTGAGCTGTGTGATGACATGGCACTCTACTGAGGGCAATAAAATGAGACTGTCTCTACAAAAAAAAAAAGAAAAGAATAGCATACAGAACACCTGTGCATGCCATGCCCAGCCCTGTCTCAGCATCTCTCCCTGTCTCCTTTATGAGCTGCATGGGTGCATGCTTTATGTCTTTGCCTACACACACTTTTTTTTTCTAATCCTCTTACCCACTCTGAGATACACACACTTTTTTAATTTGAGACAGAATCTCATTTTGTTGCCCTCTGTTGAGAGCTGTAGCATCACAGCTCACAGCAACCTCCAGCTCTTGGGCTTAGGCAATTTCCTTGCCTCAGCCTCCTGAGTAGCTGAGACTACAGGCATCTGCCACAACAGCTGGCTATTTTTTTGTTGCAGTTTGGCCAGGGCTGGGTTCAAACCTGCCACCCTCGGTATATAGGGCTGGCACCCTACTCACTGAGTCACAGGCACTGCCCAATACACACACTTTTTAAAAATTCAGAATAGCTGGTATATATCATTTACCCCTAAATACCTGAGTGACTATCTCAGAATATTCTCTTAGCTGAGATGCCATGCCATTTCTCTTTTTCTTTCTCTCTCTCCTCTCTCATTCCCTCCCTCCCACTCTCCTTCTACAGTATAAAATAAACTTAATACTTTCATGTCCTAAAAAACATATATATTCTTTTACCAAACCACAATAAAGTTACCAACTTAACCTGAATACAATCTTATCTAATCTACTAGAGGATATATGCTTGTCAGAGTATATACCTGCAGAATGATTTTTTTTTTTTTTTTTTTTGGGTAGAGACAGAGTCTCACTTTACTGCTGTCAGTAGAGTGCTGTGGTATCACACAGCTCACAGCAACCTCCAACTCCTGAGCTTAGATGATTCTCCTGTCTCAGAAGTAGCTGGGACTACAGTTGCCTGCTACAACGCCTGGCTATTTTTTTGTTGCAGTTTGGCCAGGGCCGGTTTTGAACCCACCACCCTTGGTATATGGGTTGGTGCCCTACCCGCTGAGCCATAGGCGCTGCCCCTAAAATCATTTTTTTATAGGTTGCAATTGAGAAAATATATAGATAACAGTGTCTTTGGTTTGTGTTTGTTTTGTTTGCTATAGTGGGTCCTGGATTGGGAGAGAAAGGAAGCTTCTTAGGTGTTTTAAGCTGGGAAGGATGCTGATCAGATTCATGTTTCAGGGCCTTCCCTAGCACCTAATGCAGTGACTGGTCTTGAAGCTGGCACTTCCCAGCTGTTTACTGAATGAAGGCTGGGGCATAGAGGGTGGTGGGTAGGCCAGCATGTCAAGGACACAGGTTTATGGTAAAGAAAGATGTGTGGGGAGAGAGGGTAGAGGGCACGTAAGGCAGGTGATGAGGGGCCTATAAGGGGCAAATAAATGGGGAGAAGGATGTAGGGCTTGAGCATGTGAGAAAAGGGTTAAACTGACGTGGAAAGTACAATGGGATGTAATCGTATTAGTTAGCAATTAATTGAGCATCAGGATGTGTCACCCAACCCATTAGCCTGCCTGGTACAGAGCTGTGTCTTTAGATACTCCTGAGTATTATTAAAAGGCTCACACTCATGGTGGATGCATGGGAGGCTGTTGAGAAGACCCAGAAAGTGGTATCTCTGGTTAAAATTCCCACCAAGCCCTGACTTGCCCTGCAGGATGGATGGCAAGCGGCGGCCAGGCCCAGGGCCAGGGGTACCCTCAAAGCGGTCCCGTAAGGACCTCTGGGATGAGGATGAGACACCTCAGCCATCCCAGTTTGAGGAGGACCTGGCTCTGCTGGAGGAGATGGAGGCAGAGCACAGGCTACAGGAACAGGAGGAGGAGGAGCTACATTCGGCCCTGGAGGGGGCCACAGATGGTGAGACTTAGAATGAGAATTCCCTACTGCTTCTCTTCCAGTCTCCCCTGGTCTTGCCTCTGGACAAGACTCAGTTGCAAGTTTGACCTGTGACCCTCCTCTGCTCTACTATGAGTCCTGCAAAGGGCTGGCCTTTGATCCTCCTGTCAGTATGCAGCTTCTCTTCTGCCCCTGACCCTTGACTCTCATCCTCTCCCCAGTTTCCTGCCTGACACACCACCACCTCCACCTGATTCCTTTCATAATTGCATGCCATCCTGGTCCCAGAGGGTTATTTCTAAGGGAGGACCATGACTCCATAGCCTACTTCCTTCCCTCCCACCAGGGCAGTTCTCCCTGTCAGCCATAGACTCCCGCTGGCTTCGGCCCACCTTGCCACCCCCTGACCCCCAGGCAGAGCCCCTCATCTTCCAACAGTTGGAGATCGACCATTATGTGGGTGAGTTTGGGGGTAGAGGCAGGGTGGGAGAAGGGGCCCTGGGCTCTGGTTGGAGGCAAGGCCTGGTCCACCCCACAGTCTCTGCCCCTCTGATGGTCACAGTCTGTGGGAGGAGATGAACATAGGCAGTCCTAGCCCAGTGATTAGGGCTGTAAGAGGAAGGGCAGAGGTCCAGGAAGGCTTGCTGGAGATGGTGAGCACTTGCCAGCTGATGTCTGAAGGTGAGAAGAGCTGGCTCCTTGCAGAGGGGAAAATCATGTTTTTCCATCCATTCATTCATTCCCTCCCTCATTCATTTATCCAGTTAATTAGCACCTTGTGAGCATCCACATTAAACCAGGCCCTGTTATTGGTACATAAGGTCCCTGCCCTTAAAGGCTCACATTCTAGAAAGAGAATAAAAAAAGCAATGCTATGTCAGGTGGTGAGAAGGGTTGTGGAGAAGATAAAGCAGGGTGGAGGAGACCAGACTCTTAAGGAAGCTGTGGAGATGTCCGGGAAAGAGGGCCCTAAGGAGAAATGTAAATTTAAGGAACAAAAAGGAGACCAGTGTGATGGGAATAGGATGCAAGGGGTGAAAATGAAGGCAAGGAGTCACTGAGTTCTTGTTAGCCCAGGCAAGGATCTCAAGGAGCCCTTGAGGTCCCATCCTGAGTAAGCTGGCATGTTTGGTAAAGGGGTAGCTCTAGTTCCCTGCATAGGACAGGCAGACAGGCCACACAGCTGACCAAGTACTGTTGTAGCGAATATGTAAAGACCACTCAGCTCTTGGCAATGAGAAACAAACAACAACCATTTTTTGTCAAAAATGGACAAAAGACTTGAACAGATAGTTCAGCTAAGAGGACACATCTGATGGCAAATAAAAGTCACAGGGAGAGAACACACCCCTTTAGAGTGGCTGAAGTAAGATAGATGGATAACAAGTGCTGGTGGGGACAAAGAGTAGCTGGAACATGAACATTGCTGGTGTGAAAGTAAAATGGTGTGGCCACTCTTCAGGACAGCTTGGTGGTTTCTTTTTGTTGTTGGCTTTATTTCTTTGGGGGTTTTTTTGGGTTTTTTTTTTTTTTTT